CATACTGGTTACTGATGTAAAGATAATATTTTTCTTATGAATACACGTTTGTTCAAACCTCTATTAATTCATAATTTTAAGACTGTAAATATTTCTCCCATAATTTTTTGATGCATGTTAATATTCTTGCCGGGGGAAAATTACTACTTTGCCCTTCAAGATGGCGGCTAAGGAGAATAACTCATAGGCAAAATACGTCATACATGTACAAAAGGGTCTATACACTGCAATTTTATTACACAAAAGTGATTTTCGTGACACTAATTTTAGAAAAAGCATCTTTGCTCATGATACATTGTAACCATGCACTTAGTTTCTTTATTTAATTTACAGAGGGAGAGAAGTTTTTAAAGAACATACTTATATGTGTTTTTCTACATGTACGTGATTAAAAGTTCGCTTCATCAAGCAACAGTTTGATTGATTGACTCTCGCAGTAGAGACTGAGAAGAAGTATTTTGAAAACTATATTAACTGTTATGGTTTTTCAAACACCACTCACACCCCAGGGGTGGTAGTGACCATGAAATTAAAATTTTTTGTACCCCTTGGCCAAAAATAATCTATACCAAAATTTGTTTAAATTAATTGGTTCAGCGGTTCCAAAGAAGAAACTGAACATGACCGACGAACAACGAACGGCGCACACCGACGGACGAACAGATTGCAATAGGTCACCTGATTGACTCGGGTGACGTAAAAAAGCTAATTCATTTTTTTAACAGTTAAAGATACAATCTATATTGAGGTCTTGGTAAACCAAATGTATATACAATGTATTTACTTTGAAAAAAATGAATAAACAGCATTTTTTCTAACAAAACTTCCGTTACATGTTTTCCTATCAACATATTTGTTCTCTCCCCTGTTCAGTTATTCTCCTCTGTTCTGGTGCTATATATTATGTCAGCGTCTATAAAGCTGTGTTGACAAAGCGCCATGCTTGTCTACAATGGTCGAAAACTCTGAAGGCTTCGAAAATGCTACGAATTGTCCATGATAAAAACAGCAGCAAATGCAGAAAAATTAACGTTTCCCTTTTAAACATTTAACTCCTGAAATAACAACTCATTCAGAAACAACACTACAAATATGCGATCAATTTGGTAAATAAATTTATTAATGAGAAGAGTTCCGAATTACAGAGTGAGAAATCTGAAGAAAAAAAACCAAAGCAGGACGAAAAATCTGAAGGTAAAAAACAATACAATTCATAAAGATCATTTCAAAACTTAGTAACTCTTTGTATCCCTGGATGTTTCCTTTATCTTACTTTCTGCATTATGAGGGTCATTCAATGAGTTATCATTAGTTATGCAATATATAGTATATCATAATAAATGCTGAGGCAACTAATTTCATTTTTTAGGTTGAAAGTTTTATTGAAGAGGTCCTAAACACAGCAACCTCCTTGACTTTTCCTATTTTCAATACAAAGAAATTCACTTTCAAAGAAAGCATAGTCACTACACTGAGCAAAAAAGATGTTTATAAATTATCTTTGCCAAGAAGATGAAAATAACAGCGTTTGTGAAAACTGGTTTTTTTTTTTTACATCAATCGCCGAAGAACTCAAATTTAAGATGTTATTTTCATATGTAGGAAAAAGTATCTTTAACGCTGTATATTTTTCAGATGAATTCAATAATTTAGATAAAAAGGAGATTTTAATATACATGTAACAGTCAATCTGGTCGATTGAAATTTGTGGGGGGGGGGGGGGCACCCGAAAATATCGATGTTATGTTTCACATGATATCTGAAAATGCTAAATTGACATGGAAAGACATTGTTAAGATACTAAACTTTTAATCATCACAGATTTTGTAGAATTCTGACAAAGGAAAAAAATAACAATATTTCTATTAGCGAGGTGCTCTATTTTCTTACAAATGCCTTTAGAGAAAGCACGCATTAAATGTGACAAGGATCTTTTTAAAAACAATTTGTTTTTAAAGAAATATAAGATTTAATGAACATGATGAACTTGCTTGTCTAAATGACAAAACATTGGTGCACTTTTTATAGCCAAAAAATAAGATTAATAATAATAAAAAAAATGAGGAATCAAAGAAGAAGTTATTTTATTCTGATAAAGAGAAGCAAGGGCTTCAAACATGTGTTTTTACTTTTCGTGTATATTTGAAAGGTCCATTCGAAACATGTACATACGAGTATATGCAAATAAAGGACTAGTAATGTTAACTTTCATATCCGAAATGGTCAAAGTAAAGTTAAAACAGGTTTTCTGCAAGTGTAGTCCAAATTTTGGTGACTAGGGTATTTTTTTCTGTCCCTGACAACGCAGTTGCATATAAGCTTAGAGAAAATTAAGATTAAGATTTTGAAGAAAAAAAGTAAACAGAACATTTCAATCGCTCATATTAGCTTAATCTAAGCTATTGTGAGAATTTTTTATTCCAAAACACGTGAAAACAATTAAAGGAAAGTTTTATACTGTCACATATGTCATGGGAAATGATATTAATCAGTGTCTTTGGGGCAACCCTAAAGGTGAGTATGCTGAGGTTTTCTGTTCATGGATACAAAGACCTAAGGCATGTTTAAAATATAACATGGAATATAACAAAACTCATTTAATTAGACCTAATCTCGTGAATGTCTTTATCTCACTGTTTACTCGTCGATACTCAAGGATCTCCATAACATCATCTACCGGTAACACAATTAGTGAAGCTTGTTAATCGACCTGTAACTGTGGGATAGCAATGACACGTCATGAGCAACATATTAGTATTCTACATATATTTTGCTTATACAGTGTGAAAAAAGCTAAGACATTCAAAACACCATAACGCGGACGACTTGAGTTCAAAAGGTTAAGGGGTGATTTTTATCCTGACGGCACATACATTGAGGATGAACAATGAATTATTATGTTTTGAAAGATGAAGTCTCATAATAGTAACGGTGTAAGGGATGAATATATGGAGATAACGAACAGTATTCAAGCTCAAAAGTCTGTAAAACAATACACAATAGGAGCAAAGCAAAAATGGATCTCCAAAACATCAGGATCAGGTGCAATGGGAAAAAATTCCATAATCGCGTTAACACTACATCTCCACATGTATTGTTTTAATGTAAGACACTAATGAGGCTTTATCATCATAAGAGTTTCCTTTATCTGTTTTCCATCAGTAAGTGTAGGGTTCCACGGACGGTGCCAGTACCCGGGATACCAGGGTCCGTTGAGGAAGGCATCAGCGCAGTAATTGAACCACCACCCGCCGTCCCTGTTAACAGCGCAGTGACCAGGGGCCTGATCGTTGTCTCTGTCAATGGTACTGAAGTACATTCCAGACAGTTCATAATAGCTTTGTTGACTGTGTAACATACTGTCGCCTATATTTGTAAAGAAATCAATAGATCAGTCCTTTACAGAGTTGGTGGTAACATTGAAAACTTTCACACCGAGAAAAACATTATCAACTGAGGCAAAGCCTGAGATAAATGCAGAATTTATCATATTGTTTGTTTTATACAAATAGAAATAAATAGATGATATTCAATGTTTTGTAGTTGAATATGGAATTTATTTCACGAGTGGGACAGGTTTTTTTTTATATTTTCACGAGTGCGAAGCACGAGTGAAAATATCAAAAAATCCTGTCTCACAAGTGATATAAATTCCATATTCATCTACAAAACATTGAAATTTTCTGTTTATTACATTCTCTTTGATTTTCCCTTTGCCTACGTGTTTTTTGTAATGCAGTCTTAGGCTACATGACGTCATAGTTGATCGGTTGATGAGACGTCGATCATAGCTTAGTGATAAACATTGTAAACATGAATTTCAGCAACATATCTGGGGGATTTTTCGCAGTTTTATTTTATGACAGAATGGATTATGAACTCGTTTTCTACCTTATAACAAGTAAAGGAGTATTTTTTACAACACTCTTGGTGAAGGAAAGGAAAATCGAGAGTTTTCCAGCACTTCTGATATTCTTTCACAATGTGACAGAATGTCATTTTGATATCCTTTCACACCGTGACAGGATATCACTTTTATTCAATGGATAAATTACAGTATTTCACTGTTAAAAATGTAATAAAGACATTTTTGATATTTCATATAGAGCAAATGCTTATATATATTAAGTTTTTCAAGGTCTTGGGTTTTAACGCGAAGTAATCACTACATGTACATAATACTGACGATATGACAATATAAAAAATAAACAAAAGTTTGAGGAACAGGTAACGTTACAGGTATACCCTCTCCACCCTCCTTTCTCTCTGTCCCTCTCCCCCTTTCTCTATCTCTCTGTTTTAATTTCTCTCTCTCTCTCTATCTGTTTCTCTCCCATCTCTCTCTGTCTCCCCCCCTTTCTCTATCTCTCGGTTTTTCTTCTCTCTCTCTCTCTCTCTCTCATCTCTGTGTTTCTCTCCCCCTCTCTCTCACTCTCTGTTTTTCTCTCTCTCTCTCTCTCTCTCTCTCTCTCTCTCTCTCTCTCTCCCTCTCTCACTCTGTTTTTCTTCTCTCTCTATTTCTCTCTCCCCTCTCTCTCTTTTCATTGTGTGTTTTTATCCCCCCTCTCTCTCTCTTCTCTCCCTCTTTCTCTCTGTTTCTCCCCCTTTCTCTCTCTCACCCCCCTTCTCTCTCTCCGCCCCTTACCTAACGTTCCGGTTACTGGCCCTCCGAGAAAGAGTTGGTACCTGTTGGTTTCATCCTCAACAGAAAATTGGTTGTATAATTCATATAACGTTATGTTATTTTTCAGTGTGATAGAAAGGTACAGGGATGTGTTCCTTGCCTTAGTAAGTTCATGGATGACCTCATTTCCTAAACAATATAATAATAAGAATACATGAACTTACATATTCGAGAGAATATTCAAGTCTTGTGCTAGCTCATTCTGTGCTAGATTTTAACTGTGCACAGGAGTAGTAATCTTCAATTATACCAGTGCATGTTGTTATCAACCAAATATATGCATAAACATTTTTTTAACTTGAAAGTAATTTTGCGATTATAGAGATATGCTGGGCATGTTTTGATATTCATCTAATCCTGTGATAAAAAATGAAATGAAAAAAGGTATGTGTTTTAATTAAGTGATCATTTTCTGGGAAATAACAAACAAAAACATATACCAATCCAGAAAGAATCTCCTAGGTTCCCAAACCCTCCTTTGTAATCCGCCCACGTTCTGTTAAAATTGATAGATCCGCTCCTCCGCCTCTGAATTACCTAGAGTTACATACATTGATACATGTAATTTATGGCGATATAAAGACGATTAATGACCCGTTATTCGTGACGTCATATCCAACATATGACGTCATGGCTTATCAAAATATTGAGCTGAAACAGACCTGTGCTCGGTGATTTCCAATCAATGTATCGACTTTATATACGCCTTTTTCTGTAGAAATAGTAAAAATGTTAAATTAACATCATTTTCATGACGTCATATTAAACATATGACGTCATGGCTTATGAAAATATTCAGTGCTTTGAAGTTTGCAGATAGCCCCTGTTTTAGAATATAATTTAGGGAATAACTATCTTCTAATTTGGTATTTGCGACCGTTAATGCTGATTTAACGGTCGCAAACTGAGTTTTACCGGCGACGCGTAAGCGGAGCCGGTAAAACGGATGTTTGCGACCGTTAAATCAGCATTAACGGTCGCAAATACCAAATTAGAAGTTTAGTTATTCCCATTCTAATGCAATCCATGCATTTTGTTTATTGTTTACGTCTTATTTTGTTGAATTTTGTTACATGAAATACGTCACGGAGCATTGTATTTTTGCGTCGCTCTATTATGACGTCACAATGAAAAAGCTTTCACGCTCGTTAATGCTCGTTTTACTGCTTCAAACATCAGAGCATTAGCCAATCAAAGAGTGTTTTACAAAACAATTGCATTAGAATATATATTTAACCGGCAAAGTTTGATTTTGGGGGCAAATATTCGTCATTACCGAACATAGTCCTTTGTCTACATCGTTTTTTTTTTATTTTTTGAAATTTAATGCTAAATATCTATCGTTGTCGTAACATTATCGAGCTTCTATAGAATTATACAGAGGAAATTCTTTTTGGCTCGTTTTTAGGCAAGAATTTGTTTTAAAAAAAATAACAATAACTTATAAAACATAAAATGGATTTTTGTTGTAAAAACACTTAATCCTTCTCTCACTTCATTTAAATCGTGCACATCAGCAAATGTCTCGCGATCAGTGACCTGCTTTTACCTGGCTGGATTTAACCATCGATAAAAACAGCTATTACAATGAGTTTTAATGTATGTAATTTCCCTTGTACGGTTTCCAAATGCTAATGGTTTTAGTTTGTTGTATTGTACCGATTTTTTTTAGATTGGTTTGATGTTATAGTTAATACCAGTATTCCCAGTAAAGAAATAAGCCACACTTTCTTTTGGGCTTATCTACATATATGTACATGTACACTGCGGGTAAGTCACTGAACAGGACAGGGAAAATAGCTGACATATCATTAAGAGACAGAGAGAGAGAGAGAGAGAGAGAGAGAGAATCTTACCGTCCACCATGTGTCATTGGTCTCCATATAGCATTGAACATGAAGTGACGTTGTATTATCAAAAGGATAAACCTGGTTGACACCGAACTCTACTGAACCTTCAACATGAAGATCATGGCAGTCTCTAGGAAGAGCTGTACAAATGAAACATATGGAAATAAAGAACAGTATTCAAAATCAATAACCCATAAAACATTACAAAATAGGAGCAGAGCAAACACGGACCTCCAGAGGAGGTGGGATCAGGTGCCATGGAGGAAAATATTGTATATAATTAAACACTCGTTTGAACATGCATGAGTTAATATCGAAGATATGATTACCAAGACCTTGTCTGTAGACAGTTTTTAATAGTCAGGATTTTAGCAAATACTATGTCCCAATGTTTGCCTTTATGGAGGTCAACAAGCCAATTTTTTTTCATTATTCAACCAATTTATTTGTTGTACTTGCACTACTAAGTCAGAAACGTACTGACATTCCCATTTTTTACTGACAAACTTAGAAAATTACTGACAATGTGCTGTCGTTACTGAGAAACTTTGACAATTACTGACCCTTTTACTGCCGGTGTTGATAAACTTAGAAAAGTGCTGACAATCTTAGTCGGTGCTGAAAAACTTAGACAATTACTGACCCGTTTACTGTCCCTGCTCAAAAACTTAGATAAGTGCTGACATTTACTGATAATTACTGTCCCTATTGTTTTCGCTCTCGGGGAGGCTGCAGTGGTGTGAAAATGACTGTGTGTTATACTTTGTATTTAAAAACAGTCTTATTTTAATTTTTGATGAAAAAAAATCCCTGGCAGTTATTATTTTTTTTAATCTAAATATTATTGTTATCTGTAAAACAATTCAGAATATGAATTGAAATTAACTATGCGTAAATCAAGTTTAAATTTATGTGTTGAATATAGCTATCCCTGTTCAATTAAAGAATTAAAATTAATTAATCATCAAGTTAATTTTCATCTATTTATTTCTTTGCAGACAGATATTTGACTTTAATGTAAAGTCCCCCCCCCCGTTTTCACGATCGGAAAGTTGTATCAATTTTTTTTCACAAACAGGACAGATGTATCTTGCTAAAAAAGGAAATCTTCTAAATATTGAATAATTACTGATAGGTAATTCAGTTTCCTAATGTTCTCGGACATAACTGTACAGGTCATATAATTATGTAACGTGAAGCGGTCACCCATTCAAGGGATAAACAGGCTCGCCGTTGCTTAACTTGCCTGAAAAAAAGGGAGACTCTACCGCATCACCAGAAAAGCTAGCTCACTAGCGAAGCAGTATAAGTTCCCTATATACTGTCCGCTACAATTATATACCCCTATTTAAGATTTCCGGTTTCATTTGCGCATACGGGAGTTCCCCTATTTAACAGTGCAGTGTTCAATATATAAACTTGTACTATGCCTTGTTAATTTTGTCACTTAAAACATTATATCTAAATGAATGGCTGGTTGATCGATTACGCAGGGTTCATAAGTACTCAATATCTGTAAGTCCGAGACTAATAAATAATTATCAGACTAGTAATAAAAATTCATGTACTAGCAATTATAGTAATCTTACGGAAAATATTTATATTCACTAGGTCAGCGGAAAGACTAATATTAGAAGTAGCACCATTTTTCTCAAATATTTTTCTTCTCTCTCTCCCTCTCTCTCTCTCTCTCTCTCTCTCTCTCTCTCTCTTAAAGATACAAACAGTATTGACACTTTAAGTTACTTAAATACTTGACAAGTGCTCCGTTTATTTACATTGGCGAGGGGGTTAGATCACTATTTAGTTTTTGAACTTAATTTTTAAGTATTTTTTAATCATGATTCAATTTTAACAAAAATATTACATGTTTCATAACTTCCAATTTCCTCCTGTAGCTATCGGTGAATTGGAATTAATTTAATTTTATGTGCTGAAATTAAATTTCATCTCATTAAAGTAGGTAGGCGTAGGGGGTGTTATGATGTTAACGTAATAAAAAGGCAAAGGGCGGACTTGTCTAGTAAAATATTTTACGAAGTAGTGAAATTGGAAGTTATTAGTCAGTCGAACCAGTGCTCACAAATATTTATTCCGAACCCTCTAGCATACATGTATAACCCCCCCCCCCCTTCACACACGTTACATGAAAAAGTATCTAGTACACCGGTGCTTGAATATGAATTTTATAAAAATGTGCAAGTTTTGTGAATGATGCAAATTTCTTTGTCCATTTGATCAATTTATACCCGTAATCATTATTTATTTGATTCATGTTTCATTAACATCTTTCCTTTTCATACGAGTAAGATTATTCGCTAACTGTAGGTGCCCATTATCTTCCGTGTTGAGTAACCATTCATCTCTCTCTTTCTCTGCCTCCTCTCTCTCTCTCTCTCTCTCCAAAAAATCAATATCGACCCAGGCAAAGTTTAAAATATATTTAAACTCCGGCTGTTTTTTTTTTAATGTCATTATATTCTGCATATAAATTGTGTTTGATTTTTAATTATTCTTAATTACTGATAAAAAGTTGAGGAAATATACTATGAACTATTTTTTACTTGATTTGATAATCAAACAAGTTCCTCACTCAACTGTCCCACACACACACTAACACGACTTAACAAAAAATATTAGGAACCAGTAATTTTTACAAAACTTTGGATGTAATGTATCCCTTCTCATATTTATTTTTGCTTACATCTTGAAACAATTTGTGCCTTTCCCCGGTTGTTTTTTACATCAATCTTCTTTTTTCATTAATCGTTAATTTTTTCTTACGTCGGTATATTAAAAAAAATATTTATTTAATCTAAGAAGAGATTGAAGGTTTGTAGATTGCATATTACGTATGTGTTGGTGTTGAATTTCTCAAATTCAGACTGTCTTGAAGAAGAGTCTACCTGTCGCCGTAATGTTGCGTAACTAACTTCTAGTGAAATCCGGCGAGTAGTCTTCTGTATAATGCTGCAGTGACACCTATTGTCTTCTTTACCCGCTACCGTACACACTCGGATCGCCTCAGGCGATTTCATTTACACACAGGTGCTTCACCAAGTTTCCGATTGTATGTTGAATGATTATGTAATTCGGCTGGATACCAGCTAAACGACTTGAATAAGTTTTGACGAATAAAAAGCACAGTGTTACTGTAAAATCATGATACTGGTTTCGATACCGAACAAAGCTATGAAACGTCGATTTATTAAGTTAATTTATTATGTTTACTTTAATTAAATTTATTAATTTTTTTTTACCTAAACAGATAAAAATGAGTACAAACTAAACACGACAGTATTAATTGTGTGTTCTACTTAAGTAAAATAAATAAGTACATGTTCATCGTTCTACATTTAGTTCGCACGTGCCCCCCCCCCCCCCCCCATTTTTATTTGAAAAGAAACTAGATCCATGTGAACGTCTACCGACACTCTAATTGGAAAATTTCTATTAAAGTTTTGTTTCAGGAGTATGCATTAGACAAATGATGATAATATAAAATGTCATAGTTTTACATGTATTTGAATTAAAAATAACACTTTCAGGTGGGGTTCCAGAAAATCCAGATTCGAGAATCAGCTAAAAGATGTACATTATTTCAAAAGAATAATGCGGACAGTAACTAAATCAATGAATGTCAAAGGATCAATGATCAATCCAGGCACCCCTCCCCCTGCCCAATAAATAAAAAAAAAATATTTAAATCCCCCGTCTGTCTTTTAATTGTCCAGTGGTTTCTTCTTGCAAATGCTTGGATTCGGGTATGTTTGACTGCACAAAAACATATGTGGGCGCCCCCCACATAATAAATTTTTTTACATAATATGAAAACTTTAACAAACGCCTTTCCTCAAAAAGAGGGCACCCACGGCCTCACCGCGCGCTATGAGTTTATTAAAATTATTCAAACTAATATAAATAAATCAAATTAAAATTGAATAAAACACATCTAGCCTAACAGTTTAATTCTTTATATTAATATTAAAGAAAGTCAGGGAGTTAATGTTAATTAAAAAAAAAAATAATATAAAATGCATGTCATGTATTAACATTGTTTTATTATAAAAAGGAAAAGACCTCTGTAAAATTTCATATCTCACTACTAAACGAAGATTTTTATTTTTTTTAAATTGCTTATCTTTTTGAAGGTTTTGAAATTTTATCCCTTCTCTTGAAAATATTTTTTTACAAATCAATTTTCTATAAATCGATCAAATAAGCTTCTTTTTTTTCCAAAGACATCACCTGGACATAGTTAAAAATTATATGAAAAAACAAATAAATAAAATAATAATCTATGTTAAAAAAAAAAAAAATCGATTCAATCAATCCCACACCACTGCAGCCTCCCGAAGAGCGAGAACAATAGGGACAGTAATTATCAGTAAATGTCAGCACTTGTCTAAGTTTTTCAGCAGGGACAGTAAACGGGTCAGTAATTGTCTAAGTTTTTCAGCACCGACTAAGATTGTCAGCACTTTTCTAAGTTTATCAGTACCGACAGTAAAAAGATCAGTAATTGTCTAAGTTTTACAGTAACGACAGCACATTATCAGTAATTTTCTAAGTTTGTCAGTAAAAAATGGGAATGTCAGTACGTTTTTGACTTAGTAGTGTTGGCAAAGTTGAAGACGAACACAGTTTTTCTTCCGATTATACGTTAACAAAAACCTTCTTCATTTCATAGTTTTATAATGCATGTTAAAGATTTTTGCCCTCGTATTTCTGCCGTTCGAGTATAAAATTGGTTACTGAGAGAAAGTGTACTAAGTTTGACATCCAAGATGGCAGCATAGAGAAGAAGCACGAATATACAGCATACGAAAACTATAATTTTTAAAAATATGATAAAATATCATTGATTACCTTCAGGAAAGTAGTTCCTCCAGCCAGCTTCAGCCACAGTAATGTCTGCCTGGTTACACGGATTATAGACGCGGCACTTCTTGTCTTTGGCGTTAAACCCGAAACAACCACAAGAGAAGCCGCATAAGGCCGTACAGAACGTCAGTGAACGGGCGGTGTATTCTGAGAGAAATTCACTGTCTGACTTTTTGTGATCATAAGCCAGGTCTGCAAAATACTTACGAGTCCCTGCAATCACGACTTGTAAGAAAACAGCCATCACAAAAAAACGGGAGGAAATGCGCATATTGCTATTAAACATTATTGCTTGCAATAAGATTTCAAATATAAGACCAGTTCAGAAGACGAAGGTTAAAGTTACATTGAAATAAATATGTTACAACTCTTAATTTATTCTGACGAAGAAAACAAACATGCCAATATTCTACTGTAACCCCAATCAAATAACTAGATCATGATAGGCCTAGTTAGTTATTCTGTTTTGCATACATTGAATACAGTAACATAATTTAAGCCACATGTTAACCTGGCTTAAAAACAGTCATAGTTTGTTTTTATTCTCAGTCGGAGTAAAATTTGTAAATTGATGACAAATTCTAATAGATGAAATACTGTGTAGAAAAATAAAATTCATGTACATTAAAAATGAGGTATCAAAGCAATTTTCTGCGTTGAATATTCAGATTTTTGATAAAATTAATTACTGTAAACAAATGTCTAAGCTGTAAAAAGCTCTGTGGTTTTTTAAATATATAAATTAACGAATTTGATTTATTTTTAATTTTGAAAAGTTTATCTCCGAGTCACTTTTATTATTTCACAGGCATTTACGCCTTCAATACAATATTTTTAGCATAAGAATGATGGCACAATCATTACTGCATCATATTGAAGTAATTTAGATATAGTCTATCGGGATTTAAGTACACTTACGCGGAAGTCTTATTCTAGTGTTTATAGATTATACTGAATTTATTTATAAATACATGTATGATTTACCATTACCAAGAATAAAATATTTCTGTAATGTTGTTTTATAAATGCATGCATAAAAAATGAAATTTGACCAAAATTATCGAATTATTTAAGATTTTAGACGCAATATCAATATAAGGGTCGCGAGTATATTGTAAAATCTTTTCTATGTTTTCTTTATCTTTCTTTCATATATCAAAAGTGTTATTTAATACCATATGAGATAAATCACTGCAGAATTTATAAGTTTATGCCGGAATATTGGAAAGAAGCCCTAAGGAAATAACTAGCCAAATCTTCAATGCACCGTTATGCACCCGAAAAGTTCTCAAAATGACTATGGAACATCAAATTTATAATAAGTAATTTTGTTTAAAAATTAAAGACTTAAATTGTTCTATTTCAACTCAAATGCATAATTAGGGACTAGAGTTTTAAAATATATCAAATAAATATGATTTTCCCAACTACCTGTATTTCTGTTTGCCTTTAATAGTTCCCATCTATGAACAGATTTGGACAATTAATTTTTTTCTCTCGCTTTTTAATATTATCTAATACCTTAGAATAACTATTTAACCATATGTGAAAAAAATCAGTGGATACTAGTATACTGTATAGGGGATTAATTTCACGGGTTGTAATTTTCACGTTTATCTCTTCTCTGACACTGTCGCGGTTTCTTGAATTCGCGGAATGGGTATATTATAAAAGTTTCCTCCCTTATCTATACCTATTGAAACTTATTCACTGTTTCTTGAATTCACGGTTTCATCAACACCGTGAATATAGCGAATATAAACACCGCGAGTTAATTTCCATCTATACAGCATAGGAACCCCCCTCAAATAAATAAAAATAAAGGAAATTTGGGTTAGTCAATGTCTTTTATAGTTAAAAAATTGGTGTCAGTTTGATAGTATCACCAATAGACCCTCTAAGGTAACATCGTTTTATGTCAAAATATTAAATCCATTGAAATACAAGGCAAAAAGGATTAAAAACAGATTTTCCTTTCATTCTGAATGGTAATGTAAATGATGATGACCTTGATTTGACCTTGATTCTAAAATTAAAAAAAAAAGTCGATCTCAGTTAAGTTGATACCGTCACGTAGTGATATTGTGTTCTCTGTTATGTTAGTTTTCATTAATTTTTAACTACAATTGATATGAGAAACAACTCTCCTTTTAAGGACAGTAACAATATAGGCCTACTTAAATGATTTTAGATAAAGGGGATTTTCAAAGAAAGAATGAGTTTTAAAGCCGTCATTATGGAGTCTGCTAATGGAAAATTTCAATAATTTTAATTCAAAAGAAGCAATAGAAAAAAGTAAAACGGATACATATATATAATTAACTGTCTAATTAACCAAAAAATGAAGCAGAGCATTTTTTTTTCAAAAACTAATTACATAAATGTAGTACGCAAACGGTATCTTTAAGAATGGTTAAATACTTTCGTAATTGACATTTTTCATGATAAGGACTGCATGATCAAAAGATATGTCAGCGAGTTTATTGAAATTAATGGAAGATATGTAGATTGTATCAATAATTCTCTTAACAAATCCTGTCAGACAAACAAATGGTATACCTGTGAGAAAAAATACAAAATTCATTTGTAAATACTTCTAATTGAAATGAAGACCGTTGATTCATGATTATGATCACCAAGCGTTTAACTATTCTCTCTTCGTGGCCTAATTCCCTACAAGCAACATCATTCAGTTAGACACTGTATTACACTTAGACATTATTTTCTGAATAATTATACCTTAAAAACATTGCATTCATAGCAAAATAAATATGCCAATTCGACTTCACTGAAGACACTTCCTATTTCTTTCCAAACTCATTAATCTATTTGTTTTCCTTTCGTAACATTTTTTTATCATCAACATTTAAAAAGGCCTACTTGAAATAGATACATATTGTACACATTTTCAGTCACTGTATATTTTCTTTATCCTGCAACTACCCCTTGCATTGACCTAATAGAGGTAACCTAATAAACCAAAGCTTTATCCGGTCACTGCCCTAATAAAGCCTCGTGCATGTATTCCGACATTCATAGCAACGTTATCCACATTCTTTACTTCAATAGATAATATACATTTATTGTCTGAGCTTGAGGGTAACGTGCTTTTTGTCGGACCCAAGAACCAGACTGTCTGCCTGAGGCCGTTAGAGTCGACAAAACGCATTTTACCCGTGCAAGAACTCAGTCAATAAATGTTTTGTTATACCTTTCATTATAATTTTTTACATACATGTATTTTGTACAATTTCCGTGATGTTACTTCAGGTCATTTAATATTGAACACCAACGAATGAAAATGAGATTAAGCTCCGCTTCTGGGACGTATGCCGTCCAACATCTCACTCAGCGGTCAAACATAGATTTTTTTATGCCCTTTGGGCAAAACATTAAAAATGTTGCATTTTTTGTATAACTTTAATTTGAACAAATTTTCAAAGGTATAAATTTGAATGCTTGATTGTTCTAATAAAGACCGTACCTGATCACCGTACCTGGTCGAAACCGGACAACACAATAAATTTATTGAATACCGTTCGGTATCCACACGTGAGAATCTTCCGCAATTTCAATTTCAAGGTGTTGTTCTCCACTTTGTCTTTGATTAATATTTAAAAAGTTCAGTAAGAAATATTAACATTCAGTGTGATTTTCTTTATGAAATCCATTAGAAATCCACGACGTTCAAATCTCTATAACACACGCGAAACCGTGTCACCCCGCGTTGGAATACACAGTGGGAACTATGTGCATTTTCAATACTTTATAAACATCAAAATGTACATTGTTTGACACAACTTAATAAAAAATAAACCCTGTTCAATTAACGTAAAAATACAAGAAATGTGTGTTTAAAATTAATTTGTCACTTTCTTTTCCTCGCAATGTTCGTTTGCGTTATTTTAAACTTTGCAACGTCACAAACGTCATAAACGGCTGTTACGTCTATAAAGCACACCAGTTTTTGAAGGGCGCTAAATTCACATTAAAGATTACCAAAATAAAAAAATTATGAAGAGGAAAAATTAAAGAATGTAACTATAAGTATTGAATTCATATTTTGGGATGTCTTCGGTCCTATAACACACCTGGCCGTGCCGACAAATTATCATACCGCGCACGCGTCCAGGTGTGTTATAGGACCGGAAACATCCCAAAATATGGATTCAATGCTTAATTAATAATATCATATTCTTCTACTGAATGACATTTAACATTTCTATAAAACAGATCAAAAGACGAATTTTTAATTAATTCTGAATAGTTGTTAAAACAAATAGGCTGTAATGGATTTTTTCGTGCTGGTTATCCGATTATTGTTATTATTGATATTGTCGGTTAGGTGGATTGTCAAAAAAGACGAAGAACAGTGCATTAAATATTCAATACTTGTTTACATTGTACATAATACAATTATTATTTTACTTGCGTATTTTTTACTTTTTCATATATGAAAATCATAACAGTGGAGCAGATCATTTCATGTTTATATTATTGCGCCGTGTGAATACGTCCCGTAATAACATATGACCTGTGACAAACTTCATACTGTAGATATGAGTATTGTTTAATAATATATAATAGAAAGATACAACAAATGTATATATTCTGATCTGCATTGTTGTTTTGTAGTATTGTATTATTGTTGCGGTGTTTTTCTCTTGAAGTCCACTGTATTTTTATTTTTGATACATCATGGCTAAATGTGATCTAACAACCACGCTCTATCAAGATAGAGCACTCCAGGGTGATGATGAAACAATTCTTGTCTCGGTCCATTTTACCGTGAGACAAGCCCCCTCTTCTGATATCTGAAGATACACTCGTTAAAAGGTACTCTATATATTACATAGACTGAGATAGTTCGCGAACTTTTCATCACCCCTTATGATACCGAATCCCTACATTCCTGATTACTTGTCATTTTAGTTTACATGGTACCGTGAAAAGAAGGACCATACAATTAAAAAAAAACGATTGATTTATTTACTGATTGATTAAATATTGTTTAACTCAAATTTGGCAATCTTTCAGACATTATTTGGCGGAAAGGAAGCTACAAAATTAATGTAGTCTTTAGGAGAATATTTATCATGATTTTTTTCTAAGTGTTTCCAAAATTTAACTGGCCGGTCTTGAAATTTCTGAATTCCTTTTACTCTCAATTTCATAAACTGATTTTTTTCCATATTCATTTATCCTGTTTATGAACGTATAAACGTATACATATGGAAATTTAAA